CAGTTCTAGACAGGCCAAGAAGTTTTAGAAGGTTGTTGAGAGAATAGCCTTTCAATCTTCGACCGCATTTAGACTAACCACATAGCCATTTTTTGTTAATTCATTTATAAGTTCGTAATATTTATTTGTTTTTATTGCATGGTCTTTAGGTGTATTTGGTATGTATTTTCCATGGTACAGTGAACTCTACCAGTATTTCACGTTTAATTTTTTCGAATATTTGAATATATATAGTCTAAATGATGACCTAATAAAAATTTTAAGTGGTAAAAATAATTTTAGAATATGGTTCGAAAGACGACAGATCATTACCTGCATAATACATATTAAGCTATACAGCTTAATATCTAAATAATAGAGTTTGTCACTATTTGTTTCTAAATTATTATGTAGGATAAAAAAGTACATGTATATTGGTAACGTTACGCATTTGCTTGGTAATGGTGTTACACTAATTAAATGGTTCGTTAGGAGACGAGGTACGTAGACTCACAAGTCACACGTGCTAATTTCAACTCTAAATTGACTCAATATGTCTGCACTGACGTTTGTTACATACCATGAATAGCGCCAAGCCTGAGCTTAGTTAGTATTAACTACGGAGAGATGAGTATTTAAAAATGTATGTGGATATCCTAACATTTATAGAAACTAGTAATTTTAGCCCTATAAGAAAATAAGGTATACAACAATACTTATATTATTAAAATATTTATAGAATATAAATAATATATATATAAGCTAAAGCTTGTACCCATAAGGGATATATAGAAAACACCTAGACAGATACAAACAATCTTAGTCATGAATACAAATGTTTGTAGCGTCGAGGAATTGAGCCCGCGACCATCGGAAGTAAGGCGGTGTGCTAAACCGTTAAACCACTGAGGTCATCATATTATACTTATAGTTATGTCTTCATTATATATATTTCTAAAGGATTCGATTTGCTCCAGACATTGTTGTCGATACTCAGATGCAGAGAGCATGAGTGTAGAGAAGTACGTACGAGAAGTTCTGTTTTTAACGACCGTATTAAATTTTTAAATAGATATCAGATACTTTACAATTTCATTTGTGCCTTCAGACTTCATCTTGGTGTTTATAACATTGTGAGGTTTAAGTATACACATATGTAAGCATAATTTTTATCATTTGATTTAATGTTACTCTGGTACTAAGTACTTACGTTACGTTTTTTTAAAAAAAAACGAAGATATTCTTAACCTGGTGCAGTGTGGTTCAGGATATTTTACTCATAATATCGTTTTTCAAAAATTACAATCAAAAGTACATGAGCGTTACAATTGAATAATGTTTTTTTAAATGAACGTTCCAATTATAGATTTAAAGTAAAAAAGTAAAGCAACGAAAAATGCTCACAATGGTTGCAAATCTATCAACTTCAACGTTATCAACTTAAGTAACATTTTTAAATGTCTCTTTTAGGATTTTCTATACAATTAATGTTCATATATAGTAACTACGTTTTCTTCACTTTTTTTTTTAGATAAAAGATAACCTATGTCCATCCTCGTGATATGTACAAGTGTCTCATTTTAAATTTCAATAAAATCCATTCAGTCCAGTAACACGCACAGGCAGACAGCAACAAATGTTGAATCCACATTTACTGAGTGGCGAGGACGTAAACGTTATGAATTAGCACATAATTTTGTCAATGATTGGTTAAACGAGAAACGGTGTGATTGCACAAGTCGGCTGCGGCTCTGCTTGTACCGCACATGGGAGGCAATTTCCTTACGGTAATTATGCGGCAGTTAATCTACACGCTCGTACATTTTCCACTCGTACGCTCATGAGATGATATTAAAGGAAGCTATCAAATATACGAGTACATATACAGAATTAATCATAAAGGATAGCATATAATAAACTGAAATCTTCTGAACGATATAAGAAACTAAAAAATTCTATAGGTACTAATATAGTGGGAAATTAAAAAATATATATTTAAACCTTCGTCGTACATACCCAGGAAAATAGTTTGGTTTTACAATACTCACATCGCCAAAAATAATTTATTTTATTTATTTATTTTAATATCTTTAATGCACGTCATACATAGGTAAAAAGTACATATGGCGGACTTAACACCTAATGGCATTTTCTACCAGTCAACCATGAGTTGTGCAGAGATAAGTTGTTGTGCAGAGATAATTGTTAATAATGCTCACTTTATACCCGGCTTTTGACTTCATTTTCATATCCTTTAAGACTAACCTTATTATTTCCAAACAAAGCATTGAAAAATAAAATATAGTACAAAGCATGTTTTAAAAATGGTTATGTTTTTTCAGTTTATCAAAAAAAATTAAAAAAACATATATCTTATAAAATAATTTTGGATAATGTAAATTATAGTAGATTAATTTGTTTTATGCATTAATTACATAAAAATACAAAATTCAGGGGATGACAAATTGGATACACCACCTGCAAATGACGGCAACTCAGCATTCGCTGTTGTAATGGTATTTCCATTCGTGATTATACTTCTGATTCAATTAAATTGAAATTTACTTGTTATTGGATAAACACGGCTTTAAATAGTTATTGGATAGTTTGTAATCTCATTGTAGGAACGTTGCCGTGACTTCAAATTGTCAAAACTCAATGTGTGTAACATGTAGAAAATATTTATAATAATAGAACACTATTTGTATTAAGCATCTTGAAATCCTATTAAAATTGTAAATTATATATAATTGAAATTTTGAATTTATGTAAAAGGAATAATAAATATATATATATTTTTATTTATTATTTATAAATATAGAAGAATTTACTATGAACAGAAAAATAAGCAAGTTGTTTATGAGATATTTTGGTTTTACGATTTCTTAACAAAACAAATTAATAGGAAGCATAGTAAGCTGACATTCTCCTCTGTTGACATACTCTCTATATTCATGACTGCTATGCCATATGGGATGATCAAAGGTAATCGCGTCTATTACCTATATTTACATTTTGCTTAGTCGCGAGAAACAGCTTCCGTTTATTCAACTAATCATCATATTGATTTATATAAAAAAATTAAGCAGAATTTTTTACCGGAACATATTTCCAATTTCCGCGTACAAATGTAAAAGAAATTTTTACCTCGTAATATCAATACTACATCGTATGCAAAACAGACTTGTCGAGTCATCAAGTTCGCGATGCGGAACCGTCAAGCAAGGTCATTAGAAAATAAAACCGCAAAGAAATCAAACTATGTATGTGAAATCATTTCACGACACGTTCGTTGTGTGAGTCATGACCTAGCTCAATGGACGGTCTCAAATATCCATATATAAACCAGTTATACCAAGCTAGTCCATCCATATTGAGATCGTAATATTATAGATAGCTTTTACTTATTTATAGTACTTTAAATATGCCTTTGAATTTATTAGTTTGCGAAAATCATCAATCGTACAAATCATACGTTCTATGCTATAAGTAGAATATTCGTGAATGATTGGACACCTGCAGATATTACTACCAACTTTAAATAATATTAACAATTAAAAATTTTGTTAAACAAAAACGTCATCTCATGATTAAACACAAATATTTATTCAGAGTTATAATATTTTTTGTATCTTATACTTTATTATTATCTTATATATTCTTAGATTACCTGTAAGTACTAAGTCCAGTACATTTGGAATACTACTATACTATTGAAATGTAAGATTTATGATTTATATTTGACCCCATTCAATTTGGCCCTAACAAGTATACCTAAGTATATGGTGAAACCGCTATTCACGAACTTGGCGGGTCGTTCTAACGTGTATAACTAATTTGTGGTATATTAACATACAGACGTTAGTTCGATGTACCCAAAGACACCCATGACAATAATTGCACAAGTTAACCGTAGGCGTAGTCTAAAAGTTTGTTACGACAAAGAAAATTGCATCAGGCATTGTTTTAAGTAACAACAATTATGTGAAAAAAATGTATATTCAAACAGATCTTCACAAACCACATTGCACTATTATATGAATTAAGAAATAATATTTAGTTGACATGGATTTCATAAGGTAGTAATAAAATAATTTTCGTTGAATTCCAATTCTAATTACTAAATGCCAATATTTGCTAGCTAGTTATGCTTTCATGCACCTTTTGGAATGGGATACAATACAGCCTATTTATTAAATCGACCAATCGGGGTTACACTAACGAAATCGCTCTCTCTGTATTTATTTTATCAATACTAATATTGTGCATGTGAAAGCGTGTTTGTTTGTTACCTCTTGTTGTACTTGAACAATCCTTATTTCGTTTATATTTTAGTGTAAAGAAAACAGTGTTCAAACAAATCAATTATCTATATCTAACCTATAGTTAAAAATTGATATAGAGGAAGTATTTAGGTTGAGGTCGCCGTAGCCTATATTTTATCCTTGTCAATCAATATGTCACAAGGAAACACGCTACATGACATTCCAGATAAAGATATACCATTAAGAATATCGGTTTTATATTTCTACACAATGTAATTTCAAAAGGGAATTAGGTTGGAATTTTCTTAATAGGTTTTCTGATTGCAATAGCTCTAAGATCTCTTACAGTGCTCCCACTCATTTATATTACATTGTTTTAGTCCACCCACTCTACATATTCCACATCTAAGGTTGGGAAACTTCGAAGTTTGTGTCATTCCCTATTAATATAAACCTGTCAACAAGTTGATGGTCCCTTGACACTTTAAAATACCAAGTGAGTCATCTTTCCGAGGTCATCAAGTAAACATATACGAATATTAAGAACTTGATATGTTTGAAATGGGATCTTTAGATAAGAAACTATTTGGGAGGGTTTCAGAAACATCTACCTAAAATGTATAACCGTTTAATGTTGAGTCCCAAAAAAAGTCTAATATTTATTTATTTATAAATACCCTGGTATAATATAATATTATAATAATATAATATTAGATTATACCAGATTATTCTTCTAGCAAGGAAAAATAAACTTACCGCTTGGACACGTGAAGAGATTCTGAAAAAGAACAAACAAAAAATTAGACAACAATTCTTAAGAAAATTATACTTTTTTAGATGAAAATTATAATTAAAATATGATATTATTACTATCAGTGTATTATAATTGTTCTTAACGGAGCAGGGAAAAGTTAATTCTTTGGTCCTTTGAGCTGGATAAAACAACTAATAAGATTGACATTAACTATTATAATGTTCATTAAGGCAATACTGTTATTGACTGGAGTAGAGGTAAACTATCAATTTCCTGCGTCTTTGCCACATAGCACATAAACGATATTACTAATTGGTAGCGTTGTTTCTTATATATTTCTTTATTTTATTAATTAGAAACATAAAAAAAGTCCTCTATCATAAAAAATATTAGTATAGACCAGTTACAGCTGTGATTTAAAACAGCTCTGTCAACACAGTGAAACTAAAACATGAACATGATTTTAGTTCGACCACATAACAGAATAGGCGAGCCTGCGGTTGCAGTACTGTTTTCCATTCGGAAATTGATATAGAACGCCGGTCGTGACCGAATGAAACATTTCGCGTGGTTGCCAAAGTAGGGAAAGTGAGTTAGCGAGGACACCGCTCTACCCGTGACCGGATAAAATACTACTCGATATGTTTGATTACTAATTTTTTTAGTAGGTTTTTTTTTATTATTTTGCATAATTAGATTGTAAGAAAAGGTCTTTGTGCCCTCTTTTTATAAAAAAAAAATATACATATAATATTGGTTTGGTGTAAAAAATATACAAATATTAAAGTTGCAACTAAAGCAAAGCGAGTACTAAACAATTATTAAAAATAATTAAATTTACATTTTTGTGAACTCATATATACATAGAAATAAATAAATAGCAGTTAATACAAATGGTTTTACTTATTAATTTAATGTTTGTATTGTCTAATCTACGCGCATCATAGTAAATAAAACCACGATATCGAGTGAATGCATTAATAGTAAGAAATTAAACATTTTCCATTTATTTGAGCATCTTGTGACTTTCCGAAATAGAACGATCAGTCCCGATATTTGTTCCATTTAGTTATTTACAAAACTTTGTGTACAAAACTGCAGTTCCCACTCGGCTTTAACTAAACATTTAGTTTAATATGCAATGGAGCAGGTAAAATAATAGTTACGTACTGGATTATTAATATTTACAATATTCAGTCCATAATTGACTTGGCATATTGAGTTTATTATTTAATTTTCCAGAGACCAAGTTAATATTTATTCGCAAGCTCAATTTGATATTGTTGCAATTATAACGTAAAATAATAAATAATAATAAAAGTAACGTTTTCAATTCAACCACGTTGATATAATATTTAAGTATTAAGTTTGATTTTATATAAATACAATTAAATAAATTAACAAATTTGGTTCAATAATGTATATGAATACATGATTAAACCAAATATATACATGAAATGTGGAAGAGACTTGTAAATAAAAACGTTTAGATCGTGTATATAAAGTATATATATACACCCTTAGTTTTTATCAGCAGTTGTCGGTTTTGGTACCTACACGTAGTTATCAATATATCGCAGATGTGCATAAATTAAATTAGATTCTGTACACGCTTCGTCTACTCAGCTTGGTTTGGTAGCATTTTGGTATACATGTACATGTTGATATATATATGGTTTAGATAAATACAAAAGTTTACTTGTTTTTAATTGACTTTGAAACAAAAATTAGGTCTGACAATAAAAGTTTTTATTAAAATCAGTATTATGCCGGGATTAGTGTTAAAGAAAATATAAATAGTAATAAATAAATGATTAACTATGTACAAAAGTAAATAATAGTACAGAGATAACTTGCTTGGTAATATGGTCTAATAAAATGTAATCAATTAAATCTATAGTGGTATATATATCGAGGTTTAATTGTTTTCTTTTACTCGTTGTAACTAGATTGCTATCGCCTTAGCAATATCCATTCATCTATGCTTGTTATAGTTACGCTTATAATTATTTTCATACAAAACACATAGTTATATTACAAAAATTATATATAAATGACCTTAATATTTTTTTAGGACCTCAATTTAAAAATAGCTTGTTAGAATATGTTCTATAATCTTTTCGCATAAATTGAGATATAAAAGTATAAATTATACACTTTCGTTTACATTAAATTATTAACTTAAATTCGCGCCTTTCAAACATGCTGAACATATTAAATTTATGATGTTGACTAAGTCATAATAATATTTTCTATTCACATTTACACTAAACGTAGTTAATGTTTAAATTTATTCAAGCCAGTTATTAAAGTAATTAAACAGCAATTAGGTAGCGCTTTTTTAGTTTCATTTCAGCCTTTGCGATTCTTTGATGAATCTTGAAGTGCCCATTTATATGTTAAATAGAATAACTTAGGGCTTACTTGACTTATTGCACTTTCGTAGTCTGGAGTTTCTAAATTAATTCCTCGAATTACGAATGAACATTTTTATGAATTTTTTAATGGTAATGGGATTATAAGCTTTGGATTTTTTAAATAATATTGCATTGAAATATATCACTAATCATCATCCAGTTTTTGCATTTAAATGGGGATAATAAACCTATTATCCCCTCTTAAATGTAAAAAGTTGATATGTCATAAAATGGCTGAGACTAAAAGATTTTATTTCTGACTGACTCCACGTGAAGGAGACACCGACAACTGAACTAAGTCATGACGATATATCATTATTTTATTAATGTATAAATGAATATTTAACATTAAAGAAAAATAACGCCACCATTTTAGTGGGATAACCTATTTTATTTAGTTTTTAGTTACTGGCTCTTTTAATTAGATATGCTTGATAAAGGTCCGAGTCGAACATGTTACATTCTCAAAAGAGTGTTCTCAGAGTTTTCCTAATATATGTTCCAAACTTTATAAAATCAAAATATAATCTAAATGTGTTCCTATTTCATAAGAAGTTTTAAAAACTATAGCTATTACCCGGCTTTGTTTTTTTTTTTTGAGGTAAAGTCTATATGTCGTCGTCATGGTACAATCTGTCTTCATCACAAATTTCTTTAAGATCCGAGTTACCATGGCGTAACGCCTGGTAAATTGCTGTGTGTGGCACAATAAGCTGACACCGCTACCAGGAACAGCAAATTACCACGAATCGGCACCTAACACCAATTATTAATTGTTATATTTTTACGGTAGTCTTGTTCGATCTTTAGACATAATTACACTTTTTGTACTTTAATAATTTCATTTGTTTTAATTAAATAAAATATATTTTTAAAAGGCAAATATCGCCCGCCGTAACATAAGTGGCGCAGTCGGTAGGATCGCAGCACTCTAGGACTTTGAAAATAAAAGTCCTCGCGCGAATAGACTCTTCGTGTGTTGAGAACTAGAGTGAACGGTGCTAATCGTAACTATCCGCGATCTCATAATAAGAACTATAACGGCGGCATATTGAAGACTTGCGGGAATCCGGAAAATTGAAGACCTGTGATCGACGAGACCCGAAACGGAGATGCAGAAGATGCTGTGTTGGTGAGTACTCTATTACTTTCCAAGTACATCCTATGCTCTATTTCCTTTCGTATTTAATTATAAGTGAACTTTAATGTGTATCTGTCTATAGGCTCGTATCGCTATAGATTTCACAAGTCAATTTAAAATCAATTGAATTCTGTGTGTATACACGTATTAATAGTAGTATAGTTATTATCATAAATATAAAATATTATTAAAATGGAGTTCGCAGCCGACTATAAGATGATTACTGACCTCATGCCCAAATACGATGGGAACCCTAAAAGATTAAACTTTTATTTAAGAGAAGTTGATAATTTAATGGGACTTATCCACCCAACAGCGGATGCAGGCTCTCTAGCTATAGTTTGTCTTATAAAAAGTCGCCTTAGTGGTGCGGCGATTGACGCGATAGCTTATAGGAGTCATTAAACAGTTGGCCCGATATAAAACGCGTTCTGCTAACACGTCTAGGAGAACCTAGGAACGAGATTCAAGTTATGCAAGAGCTCACACGTATCCGTCGGAATAAAAACGAGGATGCGGAATCCTTCGGTAAAAGGATTAGGGACCTTTTAGATACTCTGTATATGGTTGGGCAACACACCGACAAATCGTACTATGAGAAAATGGCTATTGAGCAATATATCAGTCAATTGGACTTCCATATATCAATAGGCGTAAGAATTATGATGCCAGGTACATTGGAACTTGCAATAGTAACCGCACGACAGGAGGAGACGAAATCAGTTACTTATAAGAATAATTCTAGTTTTAATTCCCAAAACCAACAGCAAAAAGCTACAAAAATAGATAATTATAAACCTAATAATTTTCCACGTCAATTTCATGGTCAAGTAGGTACACCATTCAATTTTTCAACGCAGCCACATTTTTCATGACAAATGCCATTTAATCAATATGTACCTCAACAAAATAATCTCAGCCCGGAACAACGGCAACAGCTAGTTAATTCATTATTACCCTGGAAGAATAGACCAATCCCCGGTAATTTTAAGCAAAACTCAGGCAACTTTAGGAGTAACAATAACCAGCAAAGACAGCCGAACGTTCCACAGCAACAGGTAAGTCCGAATCAACTTACATCTGACGTCACTATGCGATCGGTTAACAAACCGACACCTCCACAATATGCATATGAGGAATTATTCTACACTCCGTACGAAGGTAAGTCCGACACACCTCAGTATTATTGCAACCCGTTAGATTATTATTCCCCTCATGACGAACAGCATAACAATTACTACCCTAACACTAACTTAATAGAAGAACAAATTGAAACATCTCATATTTTTCCGAAACTCAGGACGAAGACGACCAGAGTTGATAAAACTAAACCACCAAGATAAAGATCATCTCCCGTACATAATAATCCCCGAGTTTAATGGAAAGTTTCTCTTGATTGATACTGGCGCCTCACGTTCTATGATATCGCCCGATGTCATTCAATACGCGAAACTCGAACAATGCATCGATTACGAACCATTCGAGGTAAAGACAGCTCACGCGGTGACGCAACATGCATATGTCGCTCATTTGCCCCTACCATCAGTCTTTAACTCGAACATCACTCACAAATTTCTCATTTTCGAGTTTGACAATAAATATAAAGGATTAATTGGATTAGACCTATTAAAATCACTCTCGAGTAATATCGATTTAAAAAATAAAATACTTCGCACCCATACTACTGACATACCAATTTATTTCGATTACCCCAAAAAGAATATTCGATTAGAACCGATGTGCCAAAAAATAATTAAAATTAAATGTAACTACACAGACGGACAGTATATCCATGACGAGTACAGTTGGACACCCGGTTTAGTATCTCCCGCGGCGATAGTTAAGGTTCATAATGGGACATTCCTAACATCAATCATTAATTCAAATACAGAAAAGAAAATTATTACAAACAAATCCCCAATCGAATTACAACCATATAAGCAAAATGAAAAACCGATTCATTATTCATATTCAATGCAAAGTAATATAAATATTGATAAAGAACTATGTGAAAATTTAAAGAAAATTCGATCTAGCCATATGAACGAAGAAGAGGAACGTGAGATAACTAAATTGTGCTATCAGTATAGAGATCTATTTTATTCCGAAAACATCCCTTTAACCTTCACTCACGCTGTTAAACACGAACTAAGATTAACTGACGACACCCCGATTTTTGTACGTAGTTATAGACAAGCCCCACAACAAAGATTAGAAATTAAATCCCAAATCGATAACCTTATGAAACAAGGCATTATCCGCGAAAGTATATCACCATGGTCATGCCCTGTTCACATAGTCCCTAAGAAGCCTGACGCTTCGGGCAAAGTCAAGTGGCGATTAGTCATTGACTATAGGCGACTTAATGATAGGATTATTGAAGACAAATATCCTTTGCCGAACAATAGCGATATACTCGATAGACTAGGACGTGCACAGTACTTCAGTACAATAGATCTAGCAAGTGGGTACCACCAGGTAGAAATGCACTCTCGTGATATTGAGAAAACAGCATTCTCAACAGAAAGGGGACATTTCGAATTTTTAAGAATGCCGTTTGGTCTCAAAAATGCTCCAAGTACATTCCAGAGACTAATGGATCATATTTTACGTGGACTCGATAACGTCTTTACATACTTAGATGACGTTATAATAGCTTCTACGTCACTACAAGAGCACATGAATAAATTAAAACAAGTATTTGATCGTTTAAAAACTCATAATCTCAAAATTCAACTCGATAAATCAGAATTTTTACAGAAACATGTACAATTCTTAGGACATGAACTAACAGCCGACGGACTTAAACCTAATAAAGATAAAATAAAAGCTGTTTTAAATTTCCCTATCCCAAAAACACAGAAGGACATTAAGTCTTTCCTCGGTTTAGTTGGTTATTATAGAAAGTTCATTAAAGATTTTGCTAAATTAACAAAGCCTATGCCTATTTGTTTAAAAAAAAATCACAAAGTTACACATACACCTGAGTTCATAGATGCTTTTAATAAATGTAAACAAATACTAACCAACGACCCACTCTTGCAATTCCCCGACTTTGACAAGGACTTTATACTTACCACAGACGCATCAGACTTTGCTCTCGGAGCAGTCCTCTCTCAAGGCCCGTTAGGTTCAGACAAACCTATTGCATATGCATCTAGGACACTTTCTTAAACAGAAACCCGCTATTCAACTATTGAAAAAGAGTTGCTAGCTATAGTATGGGCGGTAAAATACTTCCGACCATATTTATACGGCCGTAAATTTACTATCTATACAGATCATACCATTAACATGGCTGATGTCCCTCAAAGACCCAAATTCAAAATTAACAAGATGGAGGTTAAAATATATATGATTATAAAGTATATACAAAAAGGGTAAACAGAACACTAATGCGGATGCTTTATCCAGAGCAAAAATATTTCATAATAGCATTGAATCCCTGCTAGTAAATTTCGATGACAACGATGACGACGAAATTATCCCACGTATATTTGAAAACGCACGTAGGGAACTTGAATCTGAAGCTGCTGAAGCTGACCCCCCTGAAACCCAAGTAAACCCTTTAAATGTACAGCCTACAATAAACCCACCTACAATACAAACACATACATCAACCGATAGCATGAGTACAACTTCATTTGAGCCAGGTCACCTCATATCTACCAAACACACACAACCAGATAACGACAATATAGGAATTCCAATTATAGAAGACGCTATAGAAAGACAGCAAAAACAATTCTACATAAGGTCCACTCCAGGATCTGTATATAGAGTAGAGGATAGGTCCACAAATTCTAAAACAACAATTAAAGATGTATTTATACCAATTAACAATACTGAACGCGAAATAATAAAATTCCTAAAAGAGCATACTGTAGCAGATAGAGTTTTTCACTGTTACTTTCTCGACGAAAACCTTTATTTAGAATTTTCAAAAATATACACCACAGTCTTTAATGAAAGAGGCCCAAAGTTATTTAGGTGTACAACCCGTGTCACATTAGTAGAAAATAAGACAGAACAACAAAATCTTATAAAAAAATATCACGAAGGTAAAAATATACATCGCGGTATTCAGGAAACGTATAAACATCTACGTAGAAATTATCACTGGCCGAACATGCTCCTATCAATTCAGGCTTTTGTAAATAAATGTGACATTTGTTTAAAAGGTAAATACGAACGCAACCCTTTAAGACCAACATTGATGAAAACGGAAACACCTACTAAACCTATGCAACACTTATTTATGGATCTATATTCTACTGGCGGAGGAACGTTTCTCACTATCATTGACAATTTCTCGAAGTTTGCGCAAGCTGTGCCCTTACAAGCCTCCAGCAGCGTACACGTTGCAGATGGCCTACTACAGATATTTGCTATACTAGGTTTGCCCCTAAAGATAACGACAGACTCAGACACTAAATTCGACAACGACATATTAAAAGAAATCTGTGCATCACATAATATAGACATACACTTCACTACCCCATATAACCCCAACTCAAATTCCCCTATAGAAAGATTCCATTCAACAATCGGCGAAATTATACGCATTCAACGCATGACTAACAAAGATGACACTATACAAACACTTATGAGATATGCAGTTATCGCATATAACAATTCCATTCATTCCACAACAGGTTATACTCCACACGAATTACTTTATGGACATACAGCGGCTAGAAACCCATTAGAACTCTACTATAACAAAGAGTTTTACCAAGACTTTGTACTTACACATAGGACAAATGCAGAAGCAGTGCAGCAGTCTGTGGCAGCCAATCTGTCTAAAAATAAAGAACAGGTAATAAACAAGCGAAATCAGGAAGCAGAGGAAATACGTCTGAAGGTAGGTGAAACCGTTTATAAGCAGGTGGCAAAAACAGCGAGAAATGACAAAACAAAACCAGTTTTTAAAGGCCCATATAAAATTATTCATTTACACCCTAACAATGTGGCTGAAATAATAGGTAACCACCCTAATTCCAAATCTATAAGAGTACATTTCAAGTTATTACGAAGACCCCACCTTGTTCCAGGACGATCATCTCCGGAGCCCTCATGCTCACATCAGCAACCACCGTGAAAATCACTCCCATTGATAACTCTAATGGTATACTTTTGCTAAAGCAGGGGTCAGTCCTTAGACAAATAGATACTTTTAACTTAGTATGTGCCTACAACATTAGTTATTTATATACAACTACATTAAAGCTGAGTTCTCTATATGCAAGTACCAAGTTTTATGATGATAAGATAATTCCAGGAGAGTTGCATAAATCGTATACAGATCAAATAGAGTATAAAATACAGATGATACAAAGCAAAATAATAGCTATTATACCCCATAGTAGAAGTACGACGCGGAATTTTTAACGGATTAGGTTCTTTAGTAAAAACAGTTACAGGCAATCTAGATTACGATGATGCAGTAAAAATAGAGCAACAAATTTCTAATCTCAATAATAAAATACATTCTATACAAGAAAAATCTATTGTAATAGCTCAAAAGACTATTGCAGAATTTGCGAATCAATTAGATAAGATAAATCAAAATCAAAATAGGTTAAGTTTAATTATACAAAATATAACGCAGCATTCTAATATAGTATTTAGGCAGTTTAGTTTATTACAAGTTCATATACAAATAGATTTTAGTTTACAGTTAATATTAGATAAGCTAATGATCTTAGAAGACGCTATGGCATTCGCACAAATAGGTATCATGCACCCCAGTGTAATAAATACTAAAAACTTAATTATTGAAATGTTAGATATGAAACGTAAATATAGCTTCAATCCCGTGGCACCGATCTATCTAGAAAATATTCACGAAATCGAAAAGTCTATAGAGGTTAAAGCTTATAGTACAGAACAATCATTAAATTTCATTTTAGAAATACCCTCAGTAGAAACAGCTACCTATGACCTTATCCATATGTATTCTATTCCTAACAAAGACAACCTTACCATTATTCCCAAATCCAAATACCTAGTACTTGGAAAGGGAGAGTACACGTACATAGATGATCGCAGCATCACCGAAGACGTACACATCTGCAAGCAGTTGTTACTGAAATCCTTACAAGACGCTGGAGATTGTATCACAGCAACAATAGAACATAAAATCAACCACGAATCTTGTCCATACGCAAAAATGATGATAAAGAAGGGAAAGTTACAAAATATTAGTCCTAGTAGCTGGCTTCTTATCACCAACACTCAAGAGGTCCTGATAGCAACATGTGGTACTGAAATAACGTATCACACCCTCAACGGAGTACATCTCATCGCAATCCCCAACGAGTGTTACGTGCAAGTTTTAAATAAAACTCTACAAACTCATAGCAATACTGTAATCATTGAAGACATTATTCCATTACCAAAGCAGGAGGCAATAAGAACAGATGAAATTCAAGCAAAAATACAACTAGAAGACATCTCCTTAGACAATATACATGAACTCATAAAAACAGCGCATTATATACAAGATGATGTGGATAATAATGAGACTTTCATATCACTAAAACCAAGTTGGACTACCATCGCCCTATACCTCCTTGGGTTAGGCTATTTGAGCTGGAAATTAATTACATATATAACTACCCGAAGGAAGAAGATGGCCGCAGACCAGATTGCTAGACCATCCCCGCAGAAGAACAGCGAGACGCGGTTCTATCTAAAGGAGGGAGGAGTTACCATGGCGTAACGCCTGGTAAATTGCTGTGTGTGGCACAATAAGCTGACACCGCTACCAGGAACAGCAAATTACCACGAATCGGCACCTAACACCAATTATTAATTGTTATATTTTTACGGTAGTCTTGTTCGATCTTTAGACATAATTACACTTTTTGTACTTTAATAATTTCATTTGTTTTAATTAAATAAAATATATTTTTTAAAAGGCAAATATCGCCCGCCGTAACATAAGTTCCGTTCAGCCGTTATTTGTGTAAAGATAACAAACACTCTGAAAGTCTCTTTGCCTAAAGAGACTTTCAGATTTATAATATTAAAATGGATGACATTTTTGTTTAATAAAACATTCAAATTAAAAAAAACAAAGATTAAAAGCCAATTTTTATATATGTCTAGACATTATTTTGGTAACAATGCTTGTAATTGGTAGACTGCAAACAATACCTTACGAAAATACGTCTGCGCAATAACAGTATGTATGTATATTCAATAATCTACACTCTTTGTTTTGTTTACCATACAATATGTTCCGGTGATATGATTGAGAGACGAGACTGTACCGGAAATGTCTGTTGTACGCACAAACAGACAGCAAACTGTAATTCATCTATAAATTCTTAATTAATGGATATTGTTGTTTTATTGGGTCAATGTTTTAATGAGGCAATTCATAAGTATAATATATGTATTCCACAAGATTGTATTTAGATTATATTTTTCGTCTAGACAAGTAAATTAGTAAAAACTAAATTTAAATGTTTAGCGATATCCTAGCTATAATTATAATGAACCGGTTGTACGGTGTCTAACAGAATTATTTCTTTGAAGTCTACAAGTAGAATAATTCTATAAAAAAGTATATTAATTGAGTAAAGTTCGTATATAATCAATATGGGAAAAAACACTATTCAATACAGAAAGAATCTAATTTAGATAGATTATTTAAACAAAATCCAGTTAGTGTATGCTAAAAAATATACGTGAATTATGAACTTCCTTTTTTGGCAGTCAGTTGAATCTATCCCATTAAACTATTAACCAAACTTCGCTAGCTGCGATTGCCTTATAGCCAAAACGTTGTCGCATCAGAAATATTCAATTTAAGATAATTGCCAACTAGACTTGCCAAATCGGCAGCTAACTAATTATATGGCGTATGATAATAAAGCACTTAGAAAAAGGATCTTATAAATGTCAGCGATTAGGAACTTTGCCAAATATACGTCATCTATTTTATTATCTTAGAAAATATGTACCTCATAAATTATATTAGGTACGTAATGAAAAGAAGTCAAATAAACAATTAGGCTCGAATGCGATTAGGACTTGACGATACTGTATACGGCTTAATGACATAAAATTTAACAACATTCCAATGCGAAAATAGTAGAATTAGGATAATGTATTTTATTGTATACAGTAGCAATATAAATTCGTGTGGTTGTGTAAAAAATCTATTATATTTTGTTTATTCACCTCAAATACTACGTTCATGCTAAATTTTATTATTCAATTTCGTGGGTCGACCCACGATACACGTATCGTTCTAACTATAAAAAGGTTGTAATGAGGATGTGATTCCTTATGAATAAACTGGTAGCAGTTTTATCTACATTAACTATTCGAATATAGTGATGGTTACAAAAAACATTAATGACGTTTAGATAAGTACTCATACTTATACAATCTATTTATTACATCATGAGCACATGGCTGAATGCATTTAAACGAAATTTCACAATTGAGTAGGTCCAATTTTATCAGAATTGGTGATGCGAATCGTGAGATAAACTTAGAGCCTTCGATTGTATGAGGTCGTGTAGAAAACACAGGTCTTTGTTAATTGGTATTCAAGACCATTGATTGATCAACACAGCCCAAACTTTCAACTCTAGGAATATTACAATCTAGAATCCTTACCTAAAGAAACTTGAGTCTAGGAATATGAAATTTTGCAAAAACTCATTATATCATTTTAGTAACTAATAAGAGAGATGAGAGATGACATATGATTGGTTCTACGTGGGCAAAGTAATTGAACAAATAAGATAAGAGGCAAAATATATTAGTGCTCTGGAATGTTATCGTGAATGTCATATAATAACGTAATGTTCGTAGTGCTTTCATGTATATAGGCGATGATTATCATTTACCATCAGATGGGCCGACAGTGGTATTATATAAAAAAAGTTTCTCCGAATCTACGGAGCGTGACATATCCATAAAAAGTATAAAAAATTGCTCAAATAATAAATAATACAATGCAATAGCTAAACTAGATTTTAAAAGGCAATAATGGCTTTGACATTTTCACGAATGAATGGGGTTAGTTATTAATATAATGTGTGTTAAGTTAATTATATTTACCTCTGAGCTAGTGGGTGTGGCGGCTAGAAGGAGCGCGACGGCACACAGTGCCGTCCGACACCTTATCAACATCGTAGATCTGTGAACAAAATTAACGATTTTACTACATTTAGTACTTAGTACAGTTTTACTGAATAACAATAATTAAGACTTAGTATACGAAACTAAATTTCTATAGATATCGGCTACCGAACTTTAAAATAGGGCGAGCACAATGGATTCACAGAGATAGCAGTGCTACAGTTCTATGATTTTAATATTTGGTAATAATTGCGAGGGCCGAAGTAAATTTTAGTAATGGGAACTAGGGGCCACATGGTGAACAGGATTGTTAGTAATGTTGACTAATATTCCGATTACTAACAATGTACCACGTCAGGTTGACCTCACTCAACTCTCACTCAGGGGGCACCCCCGGGGGTGGTATGTAATGGTAAATTTACCACGATTGGCTAACTGACCTGAACTCATGCTCATCTTATCATTCTCAACTGGTGCTCCCCCAGCGTAACCCGTTAAGGCGGACGGGTGCATCATTCCATAAAAAAACTAGGGGCCGTATTTCTAGCAATGTACTATATCATGTAGACATTTCAGTAGTTAACCATCATGGTTCCTGGTAAATTCGTCAAGGCTTCATGCTTATCATATCTACGTCTAAGGGTATCAAGGCGTACTGTTCTTAATTGAAAATTACATCCATTTAGAAAACTTGATAAATACCTAACAAATAATATGAATTTAGGTCTTTAAAGACTCACTTTTTACTTAAGATAATGCAGAGATTAAATAAACTTGGTTACTGTGGTGTCATTCAGCTAGATAATACCCACGCAAAGTTCATATTTTATATAATATTTTAGTGGGAATGACAAACAAGCTGTGCCCTAATTCTGTTACTTACAAACTTTTGTTTTGCAAAGTTAGCGACTTTTGCGGTGGTTCTCGAGCCACTACAACCCCACATAAACCTATTGTCACAGAGTTTTGTCTGCCCGAAGTGGAATATAATGGAATAAATTAGTACACAGGTGTCATTAGGTGAATCAATTTCGTATACTGTGACGTAAGTCTTAAAGCAAAGTTTTTTATTTGTTTATACATTTATAGACATTTGCCATAACATATCCTCTATATATTAATGAATAATTAAATACTGATAATATAAGTGGCAATATTTCTAAGTTCAAGGACAGGAGACAATATTTATCAGATTATGAAAAAAAAATACAAGTATATTCTACACGAGCGAAGTCGCAAATAAAACGAGTTTATAATGAAAAACCTATCTAAAAATGTAAATAATAACTTTATGCTGTGTTAGAATTTTTTACAGTTTTATAACAATGAATTAAAAAGTTCAGTAGTCATAAATTGAACTAATTTTCAATTTAATGAGTATATTGAGTAATATTGCAAAACTTACTACATTATGAAGTCTCTTAGACCTTTACTTTACGTCACTCTTTAAATTTTCATTTGTTTCAAAGAACAGTACACCGATTTATATTGAATAAAAGTTTATTTTGAAATAAAATTTGGGAGACTAAGATAACATTGTTCATAAGTAATCTCGGGAACACAAATTTATTCGATTTGAAAGCGAAGTATCTTTGCAAGTATGTTCACAAGGCGTTCATGTGAAACATATTTACAAATGTTACAAATTCGCGGAATCCTTGTGACTTTTCTACGAAACGGCTTACGACGATTTCGGAGAACTCAAGAGGTATTTTTCAGTTATACCTACTTGAAATAGATTAACAAACGTTAAAAGTTTTATACCATTTAAATTTTCATTTCTGACATACTTTTCAAAATACCTACTTTCTGTGAAACTATCTTTGAATATGCTTATTTGTAAAATTCGTGTTTAAAAGATACAAATTACTGTTTTTTAATGTAGTAAAAATTTGTTATGTTCGTGTGATATCTGTTAAATAGAAATATTTACACGAGTGGGTTAGTTTGATATTGCTCTGGGTGTTGTTCTGTGGTTGTTAAATATATTTTAATAGTATAGGTACATCCTATGTTGTAAAAATATTTATTGAACTAAAAAGGACTGTGTTTTCTAAATTCATATAATTTTTAAACTAATTTTGACATTGAATAGAGTCGATTTTTATTCGTAACATATACTTAACTATCTTTATGACTCCATCCAACTGAACAAAGGAGTTAAACGTTATTTCGTCAGAGGAATCTGTGAAAAGGTTTTTCAGATTGAAATATTATTATTGGTGGCCATAAAAGCTTTGATTTCTTCCACTCGTTTGGTTTTTATGGGAACCTCTTAAAGTAATATATGTCTGGATTAAATTTTAACACTTCTTTGTTTTTCCCTTTAAGATAACACAAACGAGCAGTTGACAACGGTATAAAGTGGCCAACCTATTGTGTTCAATTTTGTAAGTAAAATTAACAAAACAATTTATGTAATTTAAAAAACCAGTCTCGTAATAATAGTAAACTATAGGCCTCGTAAGCATATATGTGTGTATAAGTATACTAATTACAATTGTTATAAAAATAAAATAATTACATTACATTTCAAACAAATTGTAATTTATTAACATTTTATAATATAATGACGAAGCTAAAATGGTCTGTTGAGTGTTAAGGTAGAAATTGCAGGAAGATTTATACTGACATTTTCACTAAATATCTCGTTAAATATGCCTGAACATATCTATAGGCGAAATAAGGGTGTTGGGTAATTTTCGCGTTTGTAATATTAGTAATATTACAAACGCGAAAATTTGTGATTAAGGATGTATGGTTCGATGTATAGATGTTTGTTACTCTTTCACACAAAAACTACTAAAAACGGATACTTACGGAACTTTATAGTAGTACATAAATCTGAATAACATATAGGCTATTAATTTCATGCGGGTGTAATCGTGGGCACAGCTAGTGGGCTAAACAAAGTCATAGGGTATTCACAGCTTTCTTTACTACATACGCTGACCCACCGAAGATGATATAATAAATTTTCCGCATATTTTCAATACCGCACCTACTCATTAATTAATAAAAAATAATAAAGTGTAGTGCTTAGATGTTTTATTTATATTTATTATTTGATTATCATCAATACGCCCAAAATATCTAAATTGTCTGTCGTCACTATTAGAATTATTGAAGAGAAGTTGAATTAACTTTGTGACCGGATAAAGTGGAGCAAGGGCGAATGTGTCGAACAATTCGATACTTCGTCTTTTGTTGTATTGCGTCTATATAATTTAAAAATATATTTGACTGGCAATATAGTAACAATGGCGCCTGTATCTTGGTACGCTGCCACACAGATCCAATTTAGTCGATACTTTTTACGTTATTTGGAAATTCATTTTCAATTAAAATTGTAATATTTTTATACTCGCATTTTTTATAATTAGGTGGTTTACATACAATACACGAGATATATCTGTAGATTATAGTAAAAACTAATAACCACTTTTGGAAGTAAAAAATCGTAGCCAATTGGCCTAATGTTAATAATTTATTATTAATTTGTGTTTTCGTAAATGTATCAATAAATGGTTTATTATATGCGATATATCTTTGGAACTATGGATTCATTATTAGATTATATAGATTTAAAAAAAATTAATACTGAGGTACTGTGTTATATTGTGTAATAATTAATTATAATATTCAAAGTTATGATATGTTTCCAACAATTAGGTTTAATTATGTTGATGGTAACAAAATATTGCTGTTAAAATCTTGTGGAATTCTTTGAAATATGATATTCTTTGACGTTCCCACGTAGGAAATTGCGACTCCAACGTAGACGGTTACGCATTGTACCTGCAGTCTATAAATAATTTTGTATATGTACTGTATCCTTAGAGTTTCATAAAAGTTAAGATATTTTTAAATTATCTCATTTTTTTATTTATCGTAACTACTTGTACATGACAAATGATATATCCACTCAAATTTCAAGTCAATTTCACTTATTAATGTTACACTTTGGCGATTTTCTGCTAGTTTTACTACAACTAGCATTTTTACATTTTTACATTAGTGTTTAAGAAACACAACTTGTTTTAACTTTTACAGTATGTCATTATTACGTCATAAAATCAAAACAACAAAGCTTGTAAATGAATGAGCTAAAATCACGAGCTGTGATGTCAGAGTTATAGAAAAAAATAATGATTGCTTGGTACTAACAACGGTTTGTAAGGTCGTAGCAACAGTAATGACTAAATTATCTAAATTAATACCTGAACATTACAAATTGTGGTGTATTTTAAAGTAAATTAAAAAAAAACGGATTTAAATACAACTGTATTTCGCATATTACATATAATAAATATCTACGAGATTCTATTCTAATTTAAGCCGGTTTTTATTCCTAGATATAAATAATTTTGTGCCAATCAAATAGGTTTTTATTTACGAAGAAATGACTATAAATATCCGTAAGGACTGTTTATGTAATATTATGTTATCTGTGGTGATATCAAATAAGTGTTACAACTATGAAAAATAATAATTAGTTTTTTTTAATATAACATATGCTATAACAAAATAAGTTTGTTCATTAATGTCGGTAAAAAATAATAATATGACGGTCTACCTAATGGGTAAGTTAACATTCTACTGAATAATCCACTACATCAAAGAGTTAAAAACATTAATAACTAATAACGAGAGATATGATCAAACAAGTTAGAATCTTTTCAGGAGCTAAAACATGTCGGACAAGTTTGTCCAGTTTTTACAAAGTTTTTTATAACGATCCCCACCAGGCATGACGTAGGTCCAAACTATGGGATGATATCTTCTTTTTCGATACAGGACATTTCTAAATGGCTAGTACCATTTTCAGAGGTCGGTAACGCCCTAGTGATAGAGATTAACATTGCAAATGACTACGAAGGTCGAAAGCCACAAAAGGTGGTCTGGACAAAATGGAATGGGACTATTTAACTATACATAGATTTTAGTTATATTTTGTATAGTTTATCTGAGTGGTTTTGTTATAGTTTATTGTTAGTAATATTATAAATGCGAAAGTGTGAATTTTCTTGTCTGTCGGTTTGTAAAAGGCT